TCATTATAAAAAAAAAAAACGTTTACACAAAAAGAACCACGCGTTTAGCAAAACCAAATCCAGAAATCCACAATTCTAAAAATTGCTAAGGCAAACCATGTTGGCCAAAGGCACAAAAAGAAACACAAAGTGAACCAGTTACCGAACTAGTTACTGTCATACCAACTCAAGTTGAGTACAATACAAATAAATACCTTAATTCACTATTAAGGATATTTAAAACTCTAGAAGGTCAGTATTGTGAAGACTTCTCTAAAGCTACAACTATTCGATCAAATAATGGCCGGTACGTACTACCACTAGAGCCACAATTTTCCAATACCTCACATATTGGTAGAAAAAACAAAGTAAGATTTCGGTCTAACAATATTAAAAACTCAAATGTATGTTACTTTTCGATCCCGCAGAATGGCTTTCGCCAATAATGAAAAAAACACAATCCTGAATAAATCCTTGAACGGTGGCGGCTACTAAAAACCAAATTAGTGCATACGCACTTAAACACAATATATAACAAAATTGTTATAAAGGGATATAAAATCGAAACTTCTTACAAAATATCGCTTAATAACTAGTTTCCTAAATTCTCAAATGGAATAAAAAAAAAAAAAACTAACAAAAGCAAAGATCGCTCTTATCGTCCCTACATAAGCGCTCCACATAAGGTTAGTGAATGGGAATCTGTTGTACAATTTGAATATCCCACTTAAAAACTTATAATTCTAAATGAAGCCGTTCGCAATTACCGGCTACTCTCCTGCAAGATCCCTCTAATTTCATAGTCCTAAATCTACGGAGTACCCATTCTGGCCACATCGGAGCCAGTCGTGGAGTTACTATCCTTTATAAGCCGATAACATAGAAAAGGCAAATAATAAACAACCGGTGTTCCACACCGGTGAAATAAGAAATTTTAAATAACCGCTAATGAAATGAATAAAAGCAATACCACGCATACACTTGTAAACCGTAATAATGACTCAACAAAAAAGCAAAATCAAATAAACAAAATATCAAAAAAAAAAAAAAAAGTTGATTCTCTTAAATACCTGCACTCAAATTAAAAAGCATACAAAATACCGGTGTCATGTTTAAATCAAAATCCGTTCTCTGCGTACCCGAATAAATGTGAGTTTATTACAACTCCGTCATCAAAAACTTCTGCTGTCAGAATGTATTCTGTGCCTCGGCTACTCCACCAACAGTAAGCCGAATTACATGTCTCAAATTATACATATAAAGCTAGGCAAAATATTCGCCTAGGGGGCCCAGGATGTTTAAATGAGTTAAGCATCCACCACTTCTACCCGGTAAAACTGGCGCATCCTAATGCAACAGCGCAATTCACAACAGCTGATTACTACAACACAACTCACCACACCTGTACCACCAAACAAAAAGGGCGGACAGCAGGATAGGAAACATTATTCGTCCGAAGCAATTCGACAGGTCAATTCACTACCACAATTCGTCACATACACTGTGTAAAGTGAAATAATTCTTTAATAAACTTTATGTTATACTCGTACTACACACTTAAGTGATGCGGTGTTTTTATTTCAAATGTGCGTGATAACCATATAGACAAGTTAATGATTCTCCAAGTACAAATAGAAATACATATGTATATATTTGTTGTAAAGTTATTCACTAGTTGTATGCATTGTAAATACTGTCACAGAAATCATGACAAGACTATGTTAATCAAGCAAATTGGCAGCATGTGTAATCGTTTTTAGTCTTAGTGTAAAATCTTTCATTTTATAAAAGCAACAACAATTTTTTTGTAATCTTACATTTCGATAAAAAAATATTCGTTCATTTCTGAGAGTAATTTGTTATGTCATGTCGGAGTCATGTGTAGAAGTTCACGCAAGTGAGGAAAGTTTTCTGATCGCCATTCACTTGAGAGTGGCCAGAAACGATTCTTTTACATATGATTCAAGCAGCTCACGACTTCCGATCCTTGACCAAGTATCCTCTGGGCAGCTTAAGAACATCCGTTTGAAGGCGAGCTAAAGTGAGTGAGTGAGTAAGGCGAAACATTACCTTCATAGGGTTGTGCGTCCCAGAAATGCGATGGACGGGACAAGGATAGAGACGAGTAGGTCCTTGGCCATATAAAGGAGCGCAAGTTTGGTGTGGGATTCGTGGTAGGAGAGAGACTCCGTCGCTGAGTACTATCATTCACCCCGGTGAATGAACGTCTAGCCACAATCCGCATCAAAGCGAGATTCTTCAACATATCGCTGATTTGCGCCCACGCCCCGACGGAAGAGAAGGACGATGAGAGCTGTCCCCGTCACGATGTCAAAATCGTGCTTGGCGACTTTAACGCCAAGGTGGGCAAGGAAGGTATCTTTGGAACTACGGTCGGTAAATTCAGACTCCACGAGGAAACATCCCCAAATGGGTTGAGGCTGATCGACTTCGCCGGGGCCCGAAATATGGTTATCTGTAGTACTAGATTCCAGCATAAGAAGATACAGCAAGCTACCTGGCTGTCTCCGGATSGAAAAACCACCAAGCAGATCGATCATGTTGTGATAGACGGAAGACACGTCTCTAGTATTTTAGATGTGTGTGCATTGCGAGGTCTTAACATCGACTCGGACCACTATCTTGTTGTAGCGAAGATTCGCACGCGCCTCTGTGCAGCGAGAAACGCACTCCATCAAACGCAAGGAAGGTTCGACGTCGACAAGCTGCAATCACAACAGACAGCCAAACGATTTTCTACTCGCCTTGCACTCCTGCTCTCTGAGAGCAYTCGTCAACAACTCGGTATAAGAGAACTGTGGGACGGCATTTCAAACTCTTTACGTACAGCCGCAACCGAAACCATTGGTTTTCGGAAGTACAAAAGAAGAGTTGGTACGAGGAGGAGTGCCGTGTCGCAGCGGAGAGAAAACAGGCTGCCTACCTCGTAACGTTACGATCGACCACAACACGTGCGGAATGGGATAGATACCGAGGGTTGAAGAGGGAAGCGAGACGCATTTGCAGACAGAAAAAGAAAGAGGCCGAAATGCGTGAGTACGAAGAGCTTGAAAAGCTGGCCGATAGGCGTAATGCTCGAAAATTCTACGGAAAACTGCGGCGGCTTACAGAAGATTTCAAGACCGGAGCATATTCTTGTAGAACCTCCAAAGGTGATCTAGTCACCGATGCCCAGAGCATACTTAAATTATGGAGGGAACACTTCTAAAGCCTGCTGAATGGCAGTGAACGCACAACGCCAGGAGAAGGCGAACCCGATGCCCCAATCGAC